GCTGCTATCTTCCCGGTCGCTGTGAACCTCAGTAAACCCCCGTAACAGGTGGTGGAGGTTCTGAGTAATCTACCCATCATTCCCATGGTCGCTGAACGATTGCAGCGGCAGGGTCCCCTCTAGGTAATTTTAGGAAGCTATATGGTTTGCTCCGCTCACTCAGCTGGTGACTGTCAGCTGATCGGTGCTGGTCTCCAGAGTTGTCACTGATAACGATATCCAGACGTGACTCTCCGGTTTTGCGACTTCCAGTCGCTCGCATGCAGCCTCTGCCGGTGTGAACATGAATCGTTTTTTTTAGTCGCGCGACTGCTGCTAGTCGCCAGTGTGTACCAACTTTTGCTGTCAATTCTTTGCGGTAACCAGTGCGTGATTGCGGCCGGTCAGCTCAAGAATTGTAGCCATGTAAGCTGGGACACAGCGTTCACAGGTTGATTTATCACTGTAATCCATAAAAACAAAACTCTGTCGTCATCGCTCTTTGAGCTTGTACCTCCTTTTTTTTCCCTTGTACTCTCCTCCTTCGCTTTTGGCTACATATGGCTCCTTGTGCGTATTTTGTTATTCATCTGCTTGTTGTCTTGTCTATGCTCTTTTGTTTTCTCTCTAATTTGCTGGGTTCTCTCATCTTCTGTCCTCTCTCTACTTTATATTCCCTCAGTGAGCCTGCTTTAACCTGCCTCCCTTCGAGCCTATGCTTCCCTCCCTTTTCTTTAGTAACCGTTTCGCTTCTTCCCTTCATATGCTATCTCATACTTTGCTGGTAACGTCCTTTATTTGATTTTATGTGTTCGTCATTCAACTAGGTCAACGAGATTTATTATAAAAGATGAACCACGCACATGGATGCATTTTTCGATAAATATTAGTAAAAATACAAACAAAAAAACCGTTTCACTCATTCTCCATTTTTTGTGTGTCGTCAAATTTAGTTTTAATAAAGAAATATATTCTACTGCTAGTAGATGGCACACCTTGAAAGCCGGCTTGAATTTTTTAATTACTAGAAGCAAAAACTTTAAGCTCTTCTTGAATACTACGATGACCAAAGTCCTGACTCACTCATCAGACAAAAAGCAAGTAGCAGCAGTCATTTGTGCAGTTGTTGATGAGGCCGAAGACAGCACACAAAACACCCGTTAGGTTTGCTCAGTCGAACGACAGCATGAACACTGCTTAGGAGCCTTGGAAGTCGCTTCGTAAAGATACTTCTGTATATTTTTTCGAACAATCATGATATCTATGGAACAAGTTTGGCTGGACCAATCGGAATAGCGCCACAACGTGCTTGTGTATTTCATGAATTGAATGTTTATATTTCTGGAGATTTACGCGCCAAAATCACGACACAATTATCAGGAGTGCTGCATCCAGAAAACCCGACCTATTGTTGAACCCTTGGGTCTCTGAATATGCACCTACACAGACGATCGTGGTGGAATTTTGTTCGCAGAGAAATGCTGCCGCCGTGACCGGGAATTGAACCTGCGTCCTCCAGCTTAGAAACGCGACACCTTATCTATTAATGCTGCCACGAAGGGTCACCAATTCCGAAGAAAATAGGATGATTAGAAACTTCTGGTCTATGGGAGTTGTAACTGAAGCTGCACTTTGAGAAACTCCGGGCACCATTAACAAGTACCGCCGGCGAATTTTCTATGTAAAACAACGGCACTGAGTCTTCGCATCATGATGTGCTTAGTCATCTCATGCGAGGTCGGTAAATACAATAAATGCGATGAAGAGCATTGTCGTTTCCCTCCAGCTTCAGGGGCCACTCATGCGCATCAATAAGTAGTGGAACGGACTGAGTTGGAGAGCAACACGATTGTGACGTTCCACGGGCTGAATGCGCAACACTCTATTTTTGAAAGCAATTTTTGTAATTGGATGTCCACTTTCACTAATGATAATGCCCAGCGTCAGGAGTGACTGAAACGTCGTTATATACGAACAGTTGAAGCGTAAGTGGGGTCCAGCAGTGCCTACTATGTCTACGTGGCACAATCGGGATTGCTTCGCGCTTGATCGATACGCCTGCGGTCTTGTCATTTGGCGACGTCCGCCACCCTCTACCAGTCAAGCCTTCCGCACGCTGGAGGAAGAACTGAGGTTTGGGGCCTCACTGATTAAGCAGCAGGTCACCGTCAGATGCAATTATTGACAATTATGCTAATGTGCCTCTGTTTTATGCACTCATTGCAGTGACGTCTCGCAAATGTGCTGTCGGTCTGTGTTTCCTCGATAACGTTGTGCATATATTTGCAGATGATTTAGATAATTAGCTAGAGAAATCTGCTCACTATCTCAGACTGAGCCTTCCTAAATCACAACGTGCGACTAATAAATGCTCCGCATTTATTAGTCACAAAATGTGCGACTTTAAATGCTCCACATTTGAAAAAAAAAGATAGTGGCTAAAGGGCTCTTAAACCACACCGAATTCGAATTTAAGAGAGTAATTTTTTTTTCTCGTCTTCTTTACCCTTCCTATAGGTGCTATATCCTCCTCACCACTTATTTCATCATAAGACACGTTGATCGTCAGCCCTAACCATTGAGCCAGTCATAATTTCGCGCTTTTCGACTATAGCCGCGCTGCTATATCCGTTTGCGCAGCCAAAAACGCAGAAAACGAAGTATTATCAATTTATCGTGCATGATAGCCACGCGGTACAACACAGAACTGGCAGTGTGACTGCAGGACAAAGCAGAATACATGTCAATTCAAAACAAAAATCTCTCGTATATCGACTAGTCGAGAGCTCATTTAATCCTGACGTCACGTGAACAAACTGTGGCGTCACGAATCGTGCACATGCGTTCTCGTTATTTGTATTCTCAGATGTTGTTTAGGGTCCCTAAGGCGTTTGATTTCATCTTTGTGCAAGTAAATCGATGGTTGGTTCATGCATGCGTAACCACTATTATCGAAATGCCATACTTCAATCGATGATTGATTGATTTGTGGGGTTGAACGTCCCAAAACTACCATATGATTATGAGAGACGCCGTAGTGGAGGGCTCCGGAAATTTCGGCCACCTGGGGTTCTTTAACGTGCACCCAAATCTGAGCACACGGGCCTACAACATTTCCGCCTCTATTGGAAATGCAGCCGCCGCAGCCGGGATTCAAACCCATCACCTGCGGGTCAGCAGCCGAGTACCTTAGTCACTAGACCACCGCGGTGGGGCTTCCATACCTCAATCATCAGACATGTTTTTTTTTATTCTTATACTGAAACATAACTGCATATTATTGAATTTCGGCGTGCGCTTACATTCTTGACAATGTAAAGAAGGATTAGAAGGTTAGCATCCGATTATTAATCTGTTATAATTCAATATTCTCTCTTTAATGCAGCGGCCCGTTGGTCCTACGTACAATGGGCGAGAGCTGAAAGAGACGTTACATACTACACATGTGTGCCAGTAAATGAATTTGTTGGTGTCTTTTGCTAAACAAATATCGGTCTTCTTGTCTTTTACTCTCTCATTTTGTTTTCTCTGCACAGTGGCACAAATTGTACTTAGTTTATTGGGAGCTGTAAAAATAAAAGTTAAGACTTGTGCCGCTATGAACAGAAGGAATGGGTAAAAGCCAAAAAGCGGACCATTATTTGTTTCGTAAAACACAACAAAATGACTGATTGCCGTGCAAATGTAGTATGTAAGGTACTTTCAGCTCTGGCCGCTTCTAGGCACGACAGATGGGTAGCTGCATTAACCAGAGAATATTGGAACATAAGAGATCTCTAACCGGTGGCTCATAGTCTAATTTTTCTTTACACTGTCGAGAACGTAAGTGCGCGCCAATGTTCAATGAATGCACAGTCTTGTACTGTGATAGGAATGAAGAAACGCGTGTGGTGACTGAGGCATGGCATATCAGTCGCAGTGGTAGGCATTCATGAGCCAACCGTTGATTAACTTGCAGGAATACGAAGCCAAATGCTTTAAGAGTTATCTCTCATGTATACCCACACGTGTGCTAGACAGGTAGGTGCGCATATTGCATGGACATGCGCTGAGAATCTTTGATGCCTTCTTTCTGTCTCGCTCCTTTGCGCATCTTCAGTTGTTAGTAAGCATATGTGGTGCCCTGACTTCCTTCTTGTATTCGTGTTCGCATGCCCTATATCTTTTAGAATGAATATGTATTAATTATCTCAGCTTTCTGCAATTGTAATCCCATAACATTTAACATTTCCATTCCCTACTCTTCATTCAGTGAATTCTATCTTTCTTCTCTTTTGCTTTTTTTTCGCTCTATTCACTAAGACAATACACCACCTTAAATCATGACCAATCCCTCAGGGTGTGTTGCACCAAGACACTTAGCTAAAAAAAGAACCAACATCAATGGCGTAATCAACTGTTCGATATATAACACACTTAGATAGCCTCGTATAACATCGTCAACACATTATCGGACGGATCAAGAACAGACCACAACGACCAAATACTTGACGCGATAGACGTCCATACGCGAAAGAAGGGTGAGGGGAAGGGGTAAAACCATTACTCTAAAATGTGTGTAGGGGGCTCCCAATACTGGCCCACACATATACTCGCTCGGACCTTTCCTGCCATTTTTGAATGCACAGGGTTTACTCTGAGCGTGCCTTTTGAAAATATCGGTGACAAAAACCTTCTTTATTCACTGGAATGACGGGGACCAAATATAGCCTGCTGTCCACTTCATTTTTTTTTATTTTTACGCAGCCATGGTAGACCTTGTTTTCTTTCGAACTCGATAAACAGTGTAGAAGAGGGGGGGGGGGGAGGGGACTAATGTTTCTTTCCCAATAAAGAACCTTGACCCTTCCTCCCATTGGAAAAACGTGCACGTGACTATGCTTGACGCCCTCCGTATATTAAGAAGGTGTGAGCGTCAAGTATTTTGGTATACCAACCCGATAACCAAAGCGAAAAAAAAATGCATGAAATAAAACTGAGAGTAATTGTGCAGTCAACACATGACGCGTGCTCACACTCGTTCACAAACGACTCGAATATTCTTTACTGTTTGCTTTTTGCTCCTTCGTGTTCACGAGCTCCGTGTCCTTTATCGTACACGGAAGGTTTCGCATAATGTTGATTTGTTCTCCTCTGCAATTACGGCGAGCTTTCTCTTCTTTTCTATTCGGCATCAAAAACATCTTCTCGAGACGACCCACTGGTGCTTCGCAGGCAAGATAGATGGTAAGGCTTAGCAAGGACGATGCCACAAACACGGCAAACGTTTGGAGAACCTAGAAAATAAAATAAGATAAACACTTGAGAAAACTGAAAATCCATCCTTGACGGTAGGATATACAGCAAGCAAAGCGCAAAAAACACACAGGCAGCGAAAATCAATGACACATGCTCTAAAATAGAAAATCACAAAAAAAGCTTTATGAATAACTCAGTGGAAATAGTGTTTCAAAGTACTTCGTTTCCATGACAGCTTTCTCTAAGCAATATGCACTACTGACACAGTAAGGCGTCTAAATAGTTTGCCGAAATATTCACTGTAATGAGCGCATCATACGCGCTACTCTTTCACACAAAAGTGGGAAGACTTGAACTAAGCACGTCGGTGCGAAAAATCATAGTCGGTGCATAATAACGTAGTGGTGGAACTTGAAAAGTGACAAATTGTTCTAGCCCGAAACGTGGACTGAACGCATGATTTATTTGTACGCTGTGCTTGCTACGCTTGCTGCAGTGAATCGCGTTTATTACGAGACACTTGCGTGCCAAGTGATCAAGACACTAGCAAGTCCTTTTCATTTATATCTCATATCTAGTTTCTTGAGTGGCTCGTGTGGCTGTATGCCGACACTATCAACCTTTTCGTCAGGTCGTGAGTGGCGGTTGATTGAGCAAAAAAAAAATACGTGAAGAAAAATGGTTCTTGGTGCGATAATTTACTACAATTGACAGTTTGTCTATGTTGCTTGCCAACTTTAGTCTATTCGAGATATTATTCATGGATTAATAGTTTCTTGTATTCTAATACTTTGACGATATACTCTCCTATTTTATTTTTTTCGACCTGCACAATGGGTAGTATATAATATTTTTACGGTAATTTCAAAACTTTACTGCTTACAAGGCTTATGTGAGATCATATACACACATTTTCCTATCTAGAACGATTATTTAGTAGCATAAAAGAATAATTTGCTCGCAGGGTCGATGCATTTCAGTGAGAAAAAAAACGTGTTGTCGCCTTCTTCTTTGTGTCCTTGTTTTTTTCCCGCTCTCTCTTCATTATTATTTAGTTGCATTTCGAAAAACTACCTGCATAAACACATGTGGCAAGAACACTCGCTGCGTGCGAACGACGCAAGCTCTTCAAATATGCTGTCTCTTTCCTCGCGTAATTAAGCTTTGATTGATTGATTTGTGGGGTTTAACGTCCCAAAACCACCATATGATTATGAGAGACGCCGTAGTGGAGGGCTCCGGAAATTTCCACCACCTGGGGTTCTTTAACGTGCACCCAAATCTGAGCACACGGGCCTCGACATTTTCGCCTCCATCGGAAATGCAGCCGCCGCCGCCGGGATAATTAAGCTTTGTCGTAACATACATCGAATGACAATTTATTCTCCACTGACGTAAAGCGTCCTAATAGCTTACATGCAAGCATCGATATACACAAAACAATTTCAATGTCTAGCAAAAACACTAACTTGAAAACTTCATCGATCAAAGCGCTTTCTATATTGACGCTGGGCGGGAAAGTAGAGTGGAAAAAATCTGTATCTTACCAATGTAAAGTGAGAATAGAAAATCCGCTCTCGAGCTATGTTTGACTTGATAAAAAACAATGGTACGTGAACGATATATATTCCAAAGCACAAGCGGCTCAGGGGAACAAATGCTTTCCACGAGAGAAAATTCCAAAGGACACCTGCGAGAAAAACAATATACAAAGCAAGCACTTTTTGTAATAACTATAGTACGCACCTAAGGTTAACTTTCGACAACCTAAACATCTTGGGCAATAATCACACAAACTGACTTTCTTTGTGGCCCATCACAGCGTCTCGTACAAATAAAGAATGAAAAATAAAAAATGAGAATTGGAGCTGATTAGAGCAGCTGATGGCAACTTGAGATGTAGGAATGGATCAAAATGTTGTGATGCTACAGCAGTTGTTTAAAACTAAGTTTCGTAAAAACGGGGCTGATTGCTTTCTCCTTTGTAAAATAACGCGCTGTTGTTGAGTCGAAGTGCAACATCATGACTACCGACGTTATGACTGTTGTGTCACAGATTACGACTCAGTTGCGAGGTTGCCTGCACGAGGTATACAGACGGCACGTGTCAATAGAGTAACGCCGAGTGGTATGTGGCCGAGATTCCGCCGAAAAATCATGCCACCAATGTGGTACGAACAATTAAAACAAACCAGGAAAATATGAACTTGTTGGTAACACACTATCATACACACACACACACACACACACACACACACACACACACACACACACACACACACACAAAACGTATAAATCGTACACATTTCCGTGAGATATTTTGCTGCTATTGTGTGAAAGCTCCCAGTACCAAGGAGTTTGTTGTGAACAAAATGCGTGATGGATGGCCAAGCAATACCAGAGTTTGAAGGTAGAGATGCAGTAAAATGCCTTGCTATTTGACCACTCGGGCAAAATTTGCACCAATAGCACAGAAGTTCTCCCAACAAGTCTCTAAACTGATTAATTGATTGATTGATTGAATGATCGATTGATTGATTGATTGATTGATTGATTGATTGATATGTGGAGTTTAACGTCCCAAAACCACTATATGATTCTGACAGACGCCGTAGTGAAGGGCTCTATAAATTTTCACCACCTGGGGTTCTTTAACGCGCAACCATATCTGAGCACACGGGCCCACAACATTTCCGCCTCCATTGGAAATGCAGCCGCCGCAGCCAGGATTCAATCCCGCGACCTGTGGGTCAGCAGTCGAGTACCTTAGCCACTAAACCACCGCGGCGGGGCCAACATGTCTTTAAAATCAAGTCACTTTCTTCTACAGGCAACTTACACCAGCTTCTTGCGCAAACTTTTGGGGGGGAACGTTTACTTTTCCTAGGTGGTAAAAACTGTCAAATCATCTTTGATGATACTGTAAAGCTTAAGAATTTGAATTAAGGCTATAAACTATTCTAGTGTATACATCGTAACCCTCACGAGGAGAAATGGCGCACATGTAGTATGACGGATGGTGAAAGGCAACAAAAGAAACATAACATAGGCGTATTAACACCATTTTCCAATCTTTCTGTCCAAGTTGCATTTTTTATTAAAGAAAGCACCAGTTCTCAAGTTCCCGACAGACCGGTGATTCGTCGATCTTAAGCATTCACAGATAGTCATAAACAATTCTATAGTGGCCCCGATAAAGCCCATGTGCTTAGATTTAAGTGCACGTTAAAGAATTACCCCAAGTGGTCGAAATTTCTGGAGCCCTACACTCCGGCGTCTCTCGTAATCATATGGGGGTTATAGAACGTTACACCCAAGCAAGTGTTATTATTAAAGGTATGTGAGTATATCTATACTGCGACAGCTGTTAAAGGCTTAAATTGACAGAAACCTTGAGCGCAAAAAACACGCATTTACAAGAAGAGAGGACGGAAAATACAGGCGCTACTTGCATCTAAATTTATTCAGGGATCGCCCGCAAATATAATCAGAAAAGTACACATGTACACACATTTAAAATTATAGTCAAACAAGTTGTCACTTACAAAAAAAAAAGGCACAACATTGCTGCATAGACTAAGCAATGCACGTGATGGCAACAAATTGGAAGATCACGCGCCAAATGGCAAGGAGATCAAAACGTGCCCCGCAATCCTGACGCACTAATAACGCACGAAACGTACTCACAGGTACAGATGAACGCGAATAAGCGTCTCAGTTGTTACTTTGTTGTGTCTGAAAAGCGCACCCTTTTCGCCAGCGGAGACTGCAACGAATGTTGTGACCTTTGTGCACCTTGTAACTACAACAGAAACATTCTAATGAAAGCCCAACGCCTGCTAAGACGTACTATTGTCCCACCGCGAGATAAGAGCTATTGAGAGAGCATCCACCTACCACTCTGAAGGGCAAAGTACGCGTGGAAGATGAGAAAGCGCATTGCCACGCGCTAAATGCGCCATCTTGCTGGTAATGTGGAAAACGCAATGGTTCCCCCCATCTTGAAGTCTATGCTCCCCCCCCCCCCCAAGATGCCGATCACCAGTGGTATGTGGTAGATATATATAGCTTGCATTTGAGCGTTGAAGACGAGCTCCTTGGTGGCTCACAAGGGTAAAGCCTCGCACTCACGTTTCAGAGGCCTGACGTTCAATCCCGCACGCCGAAGTCTTTTTCGAATTTTTTTATTTCTTGCGTTTTCATATATATAGGTATACGTATACATATACGGTGAGTGACAGTGACGCCAGCGGCAAAATCTAGTGGAGAGTGCTCATACAATTGCTGTTGTAATAACACTTGTCGAGGTAATCGGCGTCTGCCTTCCAAAGCTAATGTGTCACTGACGCACTTCCTCCTTCGCTTTCTCATACGATACGCTTCAAGCAATTCCCTTGAAGTCTTATCCCTCCCTCTACCTAAAATGTTTATTTCACACAGTTTCGGCTCACATGCCCCGTAACTTGCGCAATGCTCTGCCAAGTTCGTGCTTCAATATCTAACAGCTCAATAATTATCCACCGCTCGGTCATTATAAAGGCACAGCTTTGCCGCAAAGGCGAAGCAGTGAACGCGATAGCAACAAATTCGAATGTCACGCGAAGAATGGCAAGCAGATCAAAACGTGCACCGCGTATCTCACGCACGAATGACGCACGAAGCGTAATCAGAGGTACAGATGAACGCGAATAACTTATGACAAATGTTACAGAACGTCCAATACGTGCATAGCCGCTGAATACCTAGATGTGTTTTAAGAAGTTTTGTCGGTGGCTCTATATACTCGCGCTTTGTCGATGGCTCTGTATACTCGCGCAGGCGAAGCAATAAACGTGATAGCAACTAATTGGAAGGTTACGCGAAGAATGGCCAGCAGATCGAAGCTTGCCCCGCGTTTCTCACGCACAAATGACGCACGAAGCACGAAACGTACTCAATGAGCATTTGAGTTGTTACTTCGCGGTGTCTGAAAAGTACGCCCTTTTGGAAAACAGAGACTGTGCTACGAGTGCAGGGACTATTGTGCGCCCAGCAACTACAACAGAACCATTCCGGTGAAGTCCCAAAGCATAGGATTGTCCCCACAGCGAGATAAGCGAGCACTCGCGAGAGTGGCCCCTTTCTGCGGGGCAAAGTACGAGTGGAAGTTTAGAGCGTGCGCCATCGCGTCGTGACGATCCGGCGACGCGCGCTCATTGCACCATCTCGGTGGTTATGCTGAAAACACAGTAGTAGTTTCCCTGAGATGCCATTCGCCAGCGGGAAGTAGTAGATTTGAATAACTTGCCGCTTGTAGGTTGAAGGAGGTGCGCTTTGCGCCTTTTTGGCTCAGTGGTTTACGCCTCGCAAACACAATTTGAAGGTTAGAGGTTTGACTCAGCATGCCTGAGTCTTTTTCTGAATTTTTTCTTTCTTGAGTTTTCATATACATAGATATGTATTGATATACGTATTCATATGACAGTGGCACCCAAGTTTACGCCGGTTGCAGAATTCAGCCGAGAGTGTCCATATACTTGCTATCGCATTAAAAAACCAGCCGAGACTGTCTTATAATTGCTATCGCAGTACTATGCCTAACCGCAGGTTAACAATATTTTATAGACAACCCCCGTGCAACAGTTAACAAACTTTCTGCCATTCTTTTTCTGGACACCTCTTTTTCTGTCTCCACCACGAGAAATACGCGAGCACAACTGAGCTATAGCTTTCTCGAAGCGAAGAACGCCACCGGTACCAGTTTGCCACTTTTTTCAAGTGGTGCACAGCCTTATGAAAGTACGGCACCATTAATGACTGGGTGGTGAAGCATTCACGAGCTGTGAGGAATGGGGGTATGAACTTGGCAGAGCGTTAGATAAGTTTCGGGGCATGTGAGCCGAAACTGTGTGAAATAAAGATTCTAGATAGATGGAGGGATGACTTCAAGGGAATTGCTAGAAGGGTATCATATCAGGAAGCGAGGAAGCATGTGCGTCAGTGACACATTGGTGAAACTTTGGAAGGCGAATGCTGAATATTTTGATAAGTTTTTGCAAGTGAAAGCCTGTTTGACTAGGCAGTTGACTCTGTGTACATCTGGACTTTTTTGGTTATGTTTGGGCACGATGCCTCAAATGGAGTTAGATAAAAGTAGCGCTAGTTTTGTCTTCTCGTCTTGTGAATGTGTGTTTATTGTGCTCAAAATTTCTCTCAACTATGCACCATTTCGCTGAATTTTAGGTTTTTTAATTAAAATTGGTTACGTTGTGTACATCATTTCTGTTACGCCGTCGTCGACAACGGATGATCTCCTCCTTCTCAGCTTTGTTCTCGTGATGTGGCCACCATCGGCCATCGCAGAGAAACTAGTGCTAGTTGTGGTAACGCGCAGTTAAGAAGTCGGCGCGCATGCCACTGTCCTTTTGCGCAGCATTGTAACCTTGTGTCGCCTGCAGTAATTCTCAGTGTAGGGTAGCCAACTGAGCATGTGTCTGGTTCACATCCCTGCCTTTTGTATTGTTGTTTTTCCTCCTCCCCCTCCTCTAAGCAAGAAGTGATAAATACAATGAATAAAAACTAGTGTAATCGCAAAGCAACCCGTGCGAAATTACTAAAGAAAATTAGTTTTCGCGGTGATAGAGAAGTGTGATTACCTCCTCTTCTTGTTGAGCAAGCGAATACTGTCCAGCTGATGCAAAATGACCACATCAGCCTGTCGATGAACACTAGAGGAATTTTTATCAATTCTCCACGTGGACCATGGCCTCGGTTCCAGTCATATTTCAGGAACACAGTTGCGAGTGCGCAGGCGAGCGTTAGACACCACATTCCAATCTGCTTCATCTTGATGAGGAGGAATATGACATAAAACATCACACAGTGCAGTCTTCTCTAGCAATTTACTGAGAAATACTCCTTCATAAGTATAGTAGCAAAACGAATTAAAAAAAAAACGTCCGGAAAGCAAACTTTTTACCTGGGATATCTTGACTTGCCCATATTTCTTCAACAAAAAGTACGTTACACATCCGGCAAAGTAGCACATGCCATGATAAAAAGGCAGGATGTACACGTAGTTTAGCGTGTCCAGAAGAATGCTGAAGAAGAGAACATTACTTAATTTCCTCGGTGCACCATAATATTTATTGACATAAACAGAGTATTTTTAAATTCCGCTTTCTGCATAACAAGAAATAAAGACGTGCTTTTGCACCAAACTCTCCACCAAGCCTATCAAATCAGCTGCTGCTGCATTGTGTCGGAGAGCTGACTTGAGGGAGATAGCATGCACTGTCTATGTATAATTCGCGTTGTGTTCCAAGAAACAATGCAAGTTTTGTTTTTTAGCTTCAAGTAAGGCCAGATTTGGATATGAATCCGTCTGTAGGGTTCTAAGCGTCGTTGCCAAGGCTGTGCGGTATTCTGGGAGGATGGGAATAGACCCTCCTGGTTAGGTAGGAGTGCTGCGTAATCTCATGACGCACCCGATTTAGGTGCACGGCGGCAACACAAAGCTTCCCCACGTTGTTTCTTTATTTGATCCTCAGAGTGACTGATTCTAAAGCATTTCAGTTTTGTTGTCTTTTTTTTTCAACTTCAACTCGTTTTTACCCGGGTCCCAATATCGCAAGCGCCAAACATAGAGGCTCCAAGGCTCCCATTCGTGTCGACTTTTTCAAAATATATGGATATTCGTAGTGCCAGCGCTTAGTAATCCATCAGGATTGTTACCTTGCTTCTGTATTGAATGAAAATTCACCTGATGTTTGCCACAATCGGGGTCATAAAAGGTGGGTAAGATGTATTGACAACCTGCCAGGCTGTCACTGAACAACACAGCAGGCTAAAGCTGAAAAAGGCTGCAATCAAGGCCCAAAAGCATCTGAAATAAAATTCGAAGTTTATAAACGCCCTATAGCGGTCATCCTTATCTTATGGTACTTTCTTTATTGTTATAGTACCTGTACAAGATTACAGATTATTTTAGTACCATATTACAGAAAAAAATTCCTAGGTGAAACTACTGTCAAAAAGTAGCGTCAATAATTGTTCAGTTAGAATAAACATCATCTGTACATTTAACTGCTGCCAAAAACGTAATGTTACATGCGTAAAGGTATATTAGACACGTTAAGTACATTCAAATACTTGCTGTAACGTATTGAAGTACTTCAGGCTCAAGTATCAAGTGTTTAGTAAGTGAATTCACATTGTAACAAAACTGAACGAACTACGTTCGCTTTTCGAAATTTCCGATGAAGTGAAGCTAACAGCGTTGAATCAGCAATTACTTTTTTTTTTACTTCAGTACTGCGAAAAATTAAAGTGTCCTCTAATTTTCAACACTAGAAGACACCTTATTCACATCGTAACTCACCTTCTAAGTGTTAGGATAGTTGGCAAAGCCCATAAAAACAATTGGAAGTCTGCTGAAACAAACCACAGATGGCCAAAAATTCCCTGCATGAGGAAAAAGAGCACACTCTCATAAAGGCTCTCTTGTAGCTGTTTAATATCATTTAAAATGAATACCCATCATATTCAGTATTTATCTGCTTGACGAGAGTGTGGTATGGTTGGTCGACCAATTTTTTTTTTATTTTAAGACCCAGAAATATTACACATTCACAGAGGCAAAACTGTGCATTGGCCAGCGCGTAGACGCACTCGAATACTTTTTGAAATGGCACCGAAAAACCACGCTTCCACACGGATGCAAGTGGCTTATAAGTAGTTTTCTATCATTTGTTTGCATGTATGTATTGTTTTATAATAAATTTGGCTAGGCTGAATAACGATATCCACTCGCTACCATCTTCATATTGCCACGTTCCATTTCCCAAGTTTTTGTTATCATCCCAAAACACCACATGATTCTCAGCGCAAACCGCGCCTGCAGTTTTCGAGAGGGTTCCGGACTGTAGTAGATCATTTCGATAAGATCACGCCCACGGTGCGAATGGTACGGATTGTTCTGGAACGTACGCTGCCGCCAGCGGTAGGGCTAGAACATTCGACGGCGGGAGTATAAATGCCGACGCGCTTCGCCGCTTGTCAGTTGTTGATCGAAGGCCGACGCTTCGTTCACCGCTATCAGTCTGAGACTGCTATCTGGGCGAGACTGCTGCTGTAATTAGACTTTCTGTTTACCGGGCACAAGTTCGCCCAAATAAACAGTTAAATCCCGACACAAAGTCTCCTGTCTTCGGCCACGTCACGACCCCGTGACATCTGGTGGAGGTGCTGCTTCGTTCATGTACCGGACGCCCCCGTCAAGCCGTGAACCCAGCCCACGTCGCGGAGAAGACAACGACGCCAATCCGGAGCAGCGAACAAGCCGCCGACAGCTAGGGCTACCACCGGAGTACGGGCTTCTACACGACAAGGCGCGGAAGACCAAGGCCATGACCGCGACTGCAGCGACAATGACAACCGCAGCGTCCCAGCCCACGATGGTCATGCATCAACCCAGGGAACCACCAATTTTCCATGGGTCATCGTTCGAAGACCCGGAGTCCTGGCTAGAAACATACGACCGCGTGGCCGCCCTCAACCACTGGGACCATGACGAAAAGCTGCGTCGTGTGTTCTTCTATTTTGAAGACACCGCAAGGACCTGGCTCGAAAATCGGGAGTCCACGCTCTGAACGTGGGATGTTTTCTGTGGCGCATTCCTGCAAACGTTCGCGAGCGTCGCTCGCAAAGAGAGGGCCGCTGCTTTATTAGAGACCCGAGTTCAGCTACCTAATGAAAAGGTTGGAATTTTTACAGAGGAGAGGACCCGCCTATTTCGTCACGCTGACCCAGACATGCCTGAAGAGAAGAAAGTTCGTTTCCTCATGCGAGGGGTCAAACAAGACATCTTCGCGGGACTAATGAGGAATCCACCGAACACCGTCCAAAAATTTGTATCCGAGGCGACCACCATCGAAAAAACCCTGGACATGCGCACCAGACAGTATAATCGTCGCCTGACTCAGAATGCGCTGCTGCTCAAGCCAGTGACTCCGACAACCTGCGTGAAACGATCCGAGCGATCGTGCGGGAAGAGCTGCGCAAGCTGTTGCCTTCGGCGCAGCCTCAAGTGGATTCAATCGCCGACATTGTGCGAGAAGAAGTTCGGCAATCGCTTCAAATTCCCCACGCACCGCTGCCCGAGCCGGAAGCTATGAGCTACGCCGCTGCACTGCGCCACAACGCTCCTCCCCGTCCACGCCAAAACGCCGCCCCATCGCACTTCCGTTGACAGACGCCACCGCCGCCACCACCCCCACCGATGTCATACCGTTCGCCAACGGCCCAGCGCAGTGCACCGAGGAAGACTGACGTCTGGCGCACCCCTGACCATCGCCCGCTCTGCTACCACTGCGGCGAGGCCGGACACACATACCGCCGTTGCCAGTACCGACAGATGGGACTGCGTGGCTTCGCCATCAATGCACCACGCCCACAGCCAGGAGAACGACCACGTGACATCGCCGACTACCTGACAGGAACTCGGTGGACACCACGAAGCCCTTCGCGTTCGCCGTCGCCCAGCCGCCGCACGTCACCTCACCACCGAAAGTACTCTGGCCCAACGCGGGGCCGGTCTCCTAGCCCGTATCCGGGAAACTAAGGGCAGCAACCGGTGGAGGTGCGGTTGCTGTGCGACGAACTACCGAAGATCCTCCGACGACGACGACGCCGCGACGGAGCTTTCCGAACACAACGCCAACCAGCCAAAGCCCTGACGGCGAAAGCTCACTTACCGAAGGTGGCCTGACGACGCAACATGGAAGCAGCGGAACAAGCCGACGCAGCCGTGACCCGAACTAGCGACCTCGACGTTCTTATCGACGGCCACAGTGTGACCGCTCTCGTCGATACTGGAGCCGACTATTCTGTCATCAGCGGGTCGTTCGCCGCGAAGTTATAGAAAGTTAGGACAGCTTGGAAAGGCCCTGAAATCCGCACAGCCGGAGGTCATCTTGTAACGCCTGCAGGAATCTGCACAGCGAGAGTCACCATTAACGGCCGTATTTATCCTACAGACTTCATAGTCCTACAGCGTTGCTCGAGAGATGTCATCCTTGGCATGGACTTCTTATGCCTCCATGGTGCTGTCATCAACCTAAAAACGAAGTCGATAACGTTATCCACAGAAGGAGCACTACCGCCGCGCACGCCGTCAGGACACCATGCTTTGAATGTGCTGGAAGAACAAGTCACCATTCCGCCTCGCTCAAGCGTCATTATTTCAGTCGGCGCTCCTAAATCACCTGACTTGGAAGGCATCGTTGATGGCAGTCAGCATCTGTTGGTCACCCGAAATATTTGCGTCGCAAGAGGAATTGCAGAGCTGTGGGGAGGCAAAGCAACGGTTATGCTCACGAATTTGAGCAATGAGTACAAACATGTGAACAAAGGAACAACGGTCGCATACATCGAAGAAATTGTCGAAGCCACCAGTGCTTTCGCCCTCGCCGATTCTGCGGAACCTGCTCAGAGGAACCAAGCCCCTCCCATAGCTTTCGACGTCAATCTCAGCCTTCCGAACGATAAGCAAGAACAGCTCAAGGCCCTGCTCCTGCAATACGAAGATTGCTTTTCGTCGTCATCGAAAATTCAGCAGACCCCAATCACGAAACATCGCATCATAACCGAAGAAAATGCCAGACCACTCCGTCAGAGTCCGTACAGGGTTTCGACGCGAGAACGTGAGCCCATGAAGAGACAAGTTGATGAAATGCTGCGGGATGACATTATCCAGCCGTCCAAGAGCCCATGGGCATCCCCCGTGGTGTTAGTGAAGAAAAAGGATGGGACCCTACGTTTTTGCGTCGATTATCGCCGCCTGAACAAAATCACAAGAAAGGACGTGTATCCTCTCCCACGAATAGACGACGCACTTGATCGGCTCCATAACGCCAAGTACTTTTCGTCAATAGACCTCAAGACTGGCTATTGGCAAATCGAAGTCGACGAAAGAGACCGAGAGAAGACGGCGTTTATAACACCGGACGGCCTCTTCGAGTTTAAGGTGATGCCCTTCGGCCTTTGCTCAGCGCCTGCAACTTTTCAACGCGTTATGGATACAGTACTGGCAGGATTGAAGTGGCAGACTTGCCTTGTGTACTTGGACAACGTCGTCGTGTTTTCCTCGAGTTTCGACGAGCATCTTCGGCGCCTTGAAGCTGTACTTCAAGCCATCAAGACTTCCGGACTCACACTGAAGCCAGAAAGGTGCAGATTTGCGTATGAAGAGCTCTTGTTTCTGGGGCACGTTATCAACAAGTCTGGAGTTCGTCCCGATCCACGGAAAACAGCCGCCATCGCTGACTTCCCGCCGCCCACTGACAAGAAAGCCGTGCGCCGATTTCTGGGCCTGTGCGCCTATTATAGGCGGTTCGTGAAAAACTTCGCCTGCATCGCCGATCCTCTCACTAACCTTACTAAGGCTGACGTGGAGTTCAAGTGGGAAACGCCACAGGAACACGCTTTCCAGGAGCTTAAACATCGCCTCCAGACGCCTCCGTTACTTGCCCATTTCGACGAATTCGCCGAGACAGAAATACATACTGACGCAAGCAGCGTAGGTCTTGGCGCCGTTCTTGTGCAGAAGGCTGACGGACTTGAAAGGGTTATTAGTTACGCCAGCCGATCGCTATCCAAAGCAGAAGCAAATTATTCCACAACAGAAAAGGAGTGCCTCGCCATCATCTGGGCTACGTTGAAATTTCGCCCATACCTCTACGGCAGGCCCTTCAAAGTTGTGAGCTACCACCACGCCTTGTGTTGGCTAGCCACTTTGAAGGACCCTTCAGGTCGCCTCGCACGATGGAGCCTGAGACTTCAAGAATATGACATTACTGTCATTTACAAGTCCGGCAAAAAACACTCCGACGCCGACTGTCTCTCTCGTGCGCCTGTCGACCAACCGCTACCCGACGACCCGTATGACGACTACTTCTTGGGAACGATAACTACAGACGACTTCGCTGAACGACAGCGGGCCGACCCGGAACTTAAGGCCCTAATAGAATACCTCGAAGGCAGGACCGCCGAAGTCCCGAAGGTATTCAAGCGCGCACTTGCGTCGTTCTTCCTACGAAATGGTCTCCTACAAAAGAAAACCTTTTCACCGCTTCGAGCTAAGTACCTCCTTGTGGTGCCTTCAGCTCTGCGACCAGAACTCCTGCAGGCCCTGCACGACGACTACTGGCCACGTCTTACCACCGACGTCACTCGTTATGTGAGGACATGCCGGGACTGTCAGCGACGCAAGACACCATCGAAAAGGCCAGCGGGAGCTCTGCAGCCAATTTATCCACCTTGCCGACCTTTCCAGCAGATTGGTATGGACCTACTGGGGCCGTTCCCGACGTCGGCTTTCGGAAACAAGTGGATCATGGTAGCTACCGACTACCTCACCCGCTACGCCGAGACAAAAGCCCTGCCAAAAGGCAGTGCATCCGAGGTAGCCAAGTTCTTCGTCGAAAATATTGTCCTACGTCACGGCGCCCCGGAGGTCCTTATCACCGACAGAGGAACAGCATTCACTGCCGACTTAACTCAAGCGATCTTGGCATTCAGCCAAACAAACCACCGCCGGACGACAGCGTACCACCCACAGACCAACGGCCTCACCGAGCGGCTTAACAAGACGATCGCCGACATGCTGTCAATGTACGTCGAAGTCGAACACAAGACGTGGGACGCCCTTCTTCCGTATGTGACCTTCGCATACAACACGGCGGTGCAGGAGACGACGCAGATATCTCCATACAAATTGGTCTACGGAAGGAGCCCGGCAACGACGCTCGATGCCATGTTACCCAACGTCACCGACGAAAAAAACCTCGATGTGAGCGAGTACCTTCATCGCGCCGAAGAAGCCCGACAACTTGCGCGGCTCCGTATCAATAATCAACAGACGACCGACAGCCACCGTTACAACTTTCGACGACGCTTCGTGGAATACCAGCCCGGTGAACGTGTTTGGGTGTGGACGCCGATACGCCGACGTGGACTAAGTGAAAAGCTTCTGCGACGGTACTTCGGACCGTACAGGGTGGTTCGACGTCTCGGCCCACTTGATTACGAGGTTGTCCCCGACGGCATCACGAACTCTCAACGACGCCGATCGCGACCTGAAGTCGTCCATGTCGCCCGCCTCAAGCCGTTTCATGCGCGTTAACAAACTGAAACAGTGCTTTTTTGTATTATTGTTGTATCGTAATTTATTCATCGTACTTTCTTGCATTATTATTGTACCTTCATCTTTAGTTAAAGCATCGAGACGATGCTTTTTTCAGAGGGGGGCAATGCCACGTTCCATTTCCCAAGTTTTTGTTATCGTCCCAAAACACCACACGATTCTCAGTGCAAACCGCGCCTGTAGTTTTTGAGAGGGTTCCGGACTGTAGTAGATCATTTCGATAAGATCACGCCCACTGTGCGAATGGTACAGATTGTTCTGGAACGTACGCCGCCGCCAGCGGTAGCGCTAGAACATTCGACGGCGCGAGTATAAATGCCGACGCGCTTCGCCGCTTGTCAGTTGTTGATCGAAGGCCGACGCTTCGTTCGCCGCTATCAGTCTGAGACTGCTATCTGTGCGAGACTGCTGCTGTAATTAGACTTTCTGTTTACCGGGCACAGGTTCGCCCAAATAAACAGTTAAATCCCGACACGAAGTCTCCTGTCTTCGGCCACGTCACGACCCCGTGACAATATATATTGATTTCAAACTTTCCCAGCAGTAATGCGTTTGTTTAGTTGACATTGGTTTATGTTGTGAGCACTTTTCACTCCTTTTCCCAAGCAGTCATTTCAAATTTTTCTAAATTTGATATACCTCTTGTAGTAACTTATTCGATACTTCTGTTGATATTTTCTGAGTTTATACTTCAATATTTTATATATATTCTAAACCTAGAATATTGTAAAAACTATACGATTTGTATTTGAGAAAAGAAAATCATTAATTAGAAATTTTCTCTGGCAGCACGTGACATTTGTAGACAATATTTGTGAGATAAGCCTAAGTGTATACAGGAATCTGTTCCTAAGGCAAGGGATCATGCCACTACTATGTAGAATCGGCGTGCGAAATTTCACGGTCATGCCGTTTTTTGGATCTGTTTTTGTTAGAGCTTGTCTAGGAACATCGCTTGGCCACGTTGAACATACTAAATACTTGGCGTCTACGCTTTTTTTTTCAGCTTATCCTTAAATAAACATAGAGCATGTAACTCATACAGAGAGCGAAGAAATGAAGCGGAACTGTAAGGATTCGTTTTTTTTTATTACCAGATACAACATTATTGAGAACTAACAGGGAACGATGCCAAGAAAAGTATATGGGATGTTATTAGTAGAAATGATATTGTAAATGTCAAGAAAGAAAAGTGTACGAAAGGATCATTTGCCGTGGGCGGGCACAGAACCTGTGACCTTCGAATAATGCGTCAGATACCACTGAGCTATAGATCGGTGGCCATCCCTCACGTCCATGATGCGGGGTATATATGTGCATCTAAACGAGGAAGTGTCAATCAGTGGCGTTAGTAGCCATGATGGTGAGTCTGGAACACTCTTTTTCTGCCTGGTGGCTTCACGCAGCACGTGAACCTATTACAAGCTGGCAGCGGACTAATATTTCCTCCCATACTACTTGAAGGCATCAAGTTCGTCAGAACGAGACCCTCGCTATGATTGAAAGAAAGGAGTGTACATTTAAGGGTTGTTTCGCTTGTTATACACAATATTATTAAGAACTAATAGACATTGATGCGAAGGAAAGTATAGGAGATGTTTTTAGTGCCAAATTTAACGTACATATGAAGAAAAAAGTGTGGAGCCTAAATGTGACGCAAAAAAGTTATCATTATTATTCTGTCTGACAAAGAAAAACAAGCCCTTAAATATCCACTTCTACCCTTCATTCATAGCGAGCGTCTCATTCTGGCAGACTTGAGACAGCGGGAAGCACAATAATTTCTCGCGTTCCCGGTTCGTGCTATGAACTCCACCTCCCGCGCTCTTAGAGAGCTGTGTGTTATATGCGTGAACAAAATCTCAAGTTACCATTTTACGACACTTTGAATGAGAGCCAATGGAGTGTCAATGTGCATTTTGGTGCCATGTTTGACGCGATTCACTAACCGCTGTTTTTCGGGTTTATGTCAAGTGCTTCGGCTGCCACAAGTGTTAAGTCATGATTCCTTATGTTGTTCGTCGAGATGAAGACGTGCCACCATGCTTCAAAGTGAGTACATCCACATCGAATGGTGCTACAGTTACAAAACACAGACAGACATTCGCAAGCTTTCATTTATCAACGTACAAAAGCACACAGTGTCCCTTATGCACTCCCCTAAAACGACCGGCAAACGAAATACTTTTTCTTTCTGTTCTCAGTCGAGGTAGGTACTGCTCCTGCTCCACCACCCTACGAAAGCATTCTGGGCATAACGTGGTATTTTATTGCGTCAAGAATTGGGGGCACCTGATCTAGTTTTGCAAAGTCACTGTAATCAGGCCGCCGTTCACCAAGCTACGAGGGCAAGTGACGACGTCATCACCGTGACGTCACTCTTAAGTTATAACAACATCATATCGTGACTTAGTTATGATATGATCGTTTTTTTTCAACTCTCATGTTTACGCCGCCGACGCAGGACGCCCGTAAAATATCAGAGTTTGAGAAGATATAAGCTTTCACCATAAACATTCAGCTACTTTTGTGACATGTGCTTTCACTTGTGTTCTATACCGATTACTATGATGGAGGGATCAACCGTGTGTTATTTTTATTTGTATTACGCGTGACTAGAGCCAGTTGGATGCAAGAGTTATTGATCTTCCCGAAAATATTTGTTTTTTTCGTCCTTGCAAGTGGAATGTTTGAGTTCCATGTGCACATGATAGCTGCGCCTGCCTTTTATGTTTTGAGTGTGGTTTTTATGTCAGATTATTTCGACCTTCTACAAAGTGCCTGAGATAAATAAATAACTGATTGATTGATTTGTGGGCTTTAACGTCCCAAAACCACGATATGATTATGAGAGACGCCGTAGTGGAGGGCCACGGAAATTTTGACCACCTGGGGTTCTTTAACGTGCACCCAAATCTGAGCACACGGGCCTACAACATTTCCGCCTCCATCGGAAATGCAGCCGCCGCAGCCGGGATTCGAACCCACGCCCTGCGGGTCAGCAGCCGAGTACCTTAGCCACTAGACCACTGCGGCGGGGCATAAATAAATAACTGAATAAGTAAATAAATAAAAACATCATATTGCTTCTTTTTTCCATATTTTCATTCATTCAAGGACGATAATCACTTCTGAAAGCTTCTGCGGCCATACAAAACTAGTATGCAACTTGAAACACGTGCGTATTAAAGGAACAAATAACGTAATTAAAACAAATCAGTCGCTTTTATCGTGCTCTGGTGTTTTTTCTGTAGAGTCAACATGCTTTCGCACCTTTTCTTTTTGTGCAATACTTGCAGCACTTTGGAACAATGCTATGGGGTAAAAGAACAAAAACTGAGCACTTGTGCTGAGCTTTTGCTTCAAAAAGTCATTTTTTGAGTCAATATTATTCCTTGAAAAACCATTATTGTGCCCCTCATATCAGTATTGATTGTTGATATTAGGGAGTAATGCCAATTATTTATTTGTCATTTGAATTGATTCGTAAAGTTGGTCAATTTATAAGTTCTGGTATCGCTACAGTAGTTTAAATTTAGGCACCTTACCGCATTTAACAATGAGAATGTGAGAGAAATGGAACGAATGAAAATCAAGTAGGTACATAAATTGGACGGGTAATTCATTTTTATTAAGACGTGATGCACAAAGCTATACAAAGAATGAGTGGAGCATTCTGAAGCGATTGAATTACTCGAGGGTCAGGATTAGCAATCGTAAACAATTAACCATAAAACCTCGTTTTAGTAAAATGCTCAATGCCCATCTATGACATTATGAATCGCAATTAATGTAGTAGGGTAGCCTTTAAAAGTTTTTTTTCAGTTTTTGCTATCACACGCTAAGTGATCGTTCCTGACTACTGTGGGTGAAAGTTCATCCAGTAGCCGACTCCATCACGGTTTCAACAAACACCATTCATTTCACATGAAGGGGGTAAATCTTGAAGCACCAGGATGTTGCGTATTTTTGTGCGCAAAAAACTGACCTTCAGCGCAAACGAGTCTAACAACTTTAGGCAACTGATTAATGTTACATACTACATATTTGTAGAACTACGTACTACCAATATTATGTTTGAACTTCTCTTTCATCACAATGACACAATTTTATTCTGCCATTTTATGCAAAATTAGCTAAGGATATCCATTGCGAAACTGAGCAGCAGACAGGTGTATGGTAACCTAAGAGAATTCAGTACTCACAATTTCTGTTTCGCTGTAGAGGTTGCGTACTTGGAGAAGAATGTGGCACCACTGGTTACGAAATTCATAGTAAAATTTTTCCATCAGTGGCTTCAAATTAGGGCCGGATGCGATTCGCGGTACCAATAAGCAAAACACCATGGCAAAAAAGACGGGAGCAGTTGTCCTGAAAAAAATATTCGAATATTTTCCTTTCGTACGATTACTGCCCTTCAGTAACAGCCACTTTGTCAATCCCTTGCAAGACTATCAAGGCTTTTCTAAATATGTATCAACACTACTTCCCTCTTCACAAGGGTCATGAAAGTCGCTCCTAGTGTAGTAACCTAAGCATTTTGCCCCACAGTCTGGATTGCAAATGTGTTGACTTCAAAAAACTAAGTTGAGCAAAATTATAGGGAACCTGTAAGCAACAGCCTCTGCTAACGGGCAAAAGAAGATGTGCAAGTGTTTCACTCTTGCTCGAACCTCGATGCGCTAAAAATTTAGCTAAACGCAACCTAGCATTACTTAGCTAAAGCCTAGGAACAAGTTATAAGCAGCCCAGACTCAACCTGCATCACCTATAGTTAAGGTATATAAACAGCGTAGAAGCAACCACAATAGTCTTCAAAATCGTCCAGTTTCGCTGTTTCAAGCCTTGCACAGCTTAGTGCAAAGTTCTTTTTTGTTTTTGGTGGAACTACTAAACACCAAAAAAAGAAAAAACTGGCAGAGGCCCTGGTGCATTCGTGTAAGATGATTAAAAAGTGATAACTTTCCCGTGGGGCACTGTTATCTATTGTCGTCATCGGAGCTTGAGTGGTCACGTTGACCACTGCCTATTTTGATGGTGTTTTGGCTGTGCCTGCTAATGAATAGTAATTACCCAGTTCTTTGTAATGGGTTGGCAGATGAGTAACCCACTCGTAACAGAATTCATATGGTGTGACATTCGGCCCGATTGCACGTTTCTGCTAGGCAATGCTACATCTTCACATGGGTGATTGCTCCATGTGACAACTGTATAAGGTGTTATTTCAAAGTGGTTTCAAGCATCAATAGGCAGAGCTATGAGGTAGAATAACTGACTGCCATGCAGAATACATAGTCTTGCTTTTACCTCTAACCCCTATTAATACTGTATCATTTTTTAAGGTTACTATTTTTTCTCTCTCTCTCTCTCTCTTACATCGCCGCGTTGGTATAGTAGCTATGGTGCTAGACTGCTAACGCAAAGGTTGTGGGATCGAATTCCGGCTGTGTTGGCAGCATTTTCAATGGAGTCGAAGATGTTTGAAGCCCGTGTACTTAAATTTAGATGCACGTTAAAAAACCCCAGGTGGTCGAAACTTCCGGAGCCATTCACTAGGGCGCCTCTCATAATCATACGGTGGTTTTGAAATGGTAAAACTCATATATTACTCTTTTTTTGTAGTACATGTCATGGTTTTGTCTAGTGAGACGTATTTTTTTCTTCCAGATTTCATCATCTTGCGAAGGCGAAATAGTTTCCATAAATTTTGTCAACATAATAACAATCCCAAAATGTTAACCTTTGTGAATATTGAGAGCATGTTAAAAATGGAAACAATGAATGATAAAAAATTTCACGATGATGGGACAAGTTTTCAAGCTGAACACGAATTCTTAGTGGCGGGAACCAAGAATTACATCATTAAACGAAAAACATATAGCGCAAAACGCGGCATTGTGCTGATTACATGAGCAATGTTGCCCTGATCTTGAGTCTAAGTGGGTGAGTCACACCCTGTTTTCGGCTGAAGAAGTTTAAGGCTCGCGTCTATACGTAACTAGAGGTACCATCCTTCAAACCACAGTCGAGGAATTCACGTGCACCAGCCGTTGGGTTAGGCAGCAATGAAGCCGAAGACAGTGGATTCCTTGTTATTGATATGTTACACGAATTTCATTATCGAAATTATTTCAAACAGGTCCTTTGAAGGTGGCTATCGTGAGAAGTAAATAACAATATGGCCCTTTTAGAATCACTGAGCATTATAACGATGATGTTTTGTATTTAAATATGAAAAAGCCTCAACCACCCTTGTATGACGTGTACCCATTGCTAATAGTATTAAGATTGTATTACGCTCTTTTACGGTCTTACATGTGGTCATACAACGTAATAAGCAATTTTTCACGAAAAGTACAATAACGTAGCACAGGCAATCAGGCTAACTAGTAGTAAAATTATACAGCAACTAGCCTACGGTTTCTCCTATACATTTGTTGTTGATACAGATTTGTTTACAAAACCTCGAATTCTGCTGTGCTGACACAATTTTCGCTCTCATTGTTACAAAGAGCACTTGATGTAGAGGGCGCGTAATATACATCTTTCGAGCTGTTTTGTCTCTGGGGCGCCCTCTATCGAAACGTGTAAAAGAGGATGTACTGCGAATAATTGGTGTCACCTTTGTTGGGAAAGCGAAGCGTGCGTCTCATCACTGCGACCCTTGGGTTTCGGCCTGTGTCCGTGGCCGACTCAGCTCGAACACGCCCAGAATAGTTAAGTCACATTTAAAGCCATAGCACTTTAACTTACCTTATGTGACGCCGCACGATGGCAATGAGTCCCGTCAGTAGTATGTTGTCACGTTTTGGTTCAATATTATAAGCTAGGAGGAAGCCGCTGAAAACCAAAGACGATTGTTAAGCATCCGCTCAAGAGCCCAAGTGCTTACTTTATCTGGCTGCGCCTGCTGTTTTCAACTCTGCAAGTGATTGTGCTTGAGTGTTGGCAGTGGTATTGAATTCGTGTTTCACTGTTGTGAGTGTTCTAAACATGTCAGACATGCATAATATCAAGTGCGCTCTGCAGCCGGTTTTCATAGTTTAGAGTGTTTGTTTATTATTTGAAGCAGATTATTGATGAAAGTCAAAGCAAAGTATAAAACTAAGAAAAAATATTTAGACATTTCCGGACATTACTTGCGAAGCCATTTTGCTTCCTATTAAATTCGTGTAGGCGTCGTGCACCTCAATAAAATAAATTGCACTTTGATATCCCCATATGACAATAGCTGTTGCAAGTCAGAAAGCGTCATGGCTTAACTAGGCCACGCATAGCGACTATATACAGGACACTGATATAGCGCTAATTTTCGAACAAGGCTGTAAATTAGCGTGGTCTCTGCAACTGAGAAACTCAAAATGGAGCCTTTGTTGGAAATTTATGAAATAGATATTTACCATTTTCATATAATGAAAAGCAGGTTTGAAATATTATCACCACTTTTTTATGCATGCTGCACGTGTCCATTGTGTGGATACCAATTCATTGGTAATTTCAGCAACGTCCTCACCGATCAAGTTGCCAGAAAAGCACACGTAGAAACAAACTTTGTTCCTATGCCTTTATCTGGGATTTACGCGGCGTGATACATTAGTAAGATGGCTTAGAACATGACACTCCGGAAGTGGCTATTATCACGGTTGACGCATCATCGACTGTATTCTTTCGACCCATCTCTTTGACTGCTGCTACACCCAGGTTTTTTCTGCGAGGAAGGTACAGTGTTGTGCCGTCTGCGTCTGAGCATAGCTATCACCAACGCCTATTAATTTAGACCTGCTAATTTAAGATTAAAATTGGTGACAACGCGGAGTACAATGACTGTGGCTTCTATGAGACTATTGAAAACCCTTTGTGTTACTGCCCGATATACGCAAACGAGAGGCTTCAACTTCGCACTGTTCTACATCAGCTCTACTGCAGCAGTTTCACTGTGGACAAGGCACTGGGACTATGGGGCAGCTCATCACAGTTCCGAAAGGCAGCAAAGGTGCTGTTCGATTTTCTCAAGGACACCAGTATGATTCATCGTTTGTGATGTTAAGCGTGAAACTGTTGCGCATCGGCTCCAACCAGTGCCTTTTCTCTCCTTCTCTAAAACTTTCCTTCCACCCCCCCCTTCCCCAGTGCAGGGTAGCCTACCGAACTCAGCCCTGGTTAACCTCCCTGCTTTTTTTCTATACTTATTCCCCTTCCTTTCATACATAAGTCGTGTCATCACTCATCACCATTTTCGTAAGTTTAATAACACGAATTACGTGTTGTAGCAAGCTCTGGTCAGTTTTTTCTTTGCTTTCAAGGCGCAACACATTATTGTGGATTTGCCATGAATCTCGAGTTTGTTCGTCGTCAGATTCGATATGAACATAAGAGCTCAACAAACTATTACTTACCTCAGAAAGAAGAAAACGTCCACACTCAAGTACCCAGTCATTACCAGAGAAAAACTGATGTTGTCAGCATAATGCAGAGCATTCACCAAGCGGGCTATGAGGAGAACATACAAAGACAGGATTAGTACGGATTGGAAGTCAAAGAAGCAACAACTTAAATTTAGTTGGTTCACCACCCTGTCCAATATTTTGATTTCAGTTTGTTTGTCTGTTTTTGCTTGTTTTTTATTGTGCGCTGACTCACACAGGCCTTGACAGTATTACACATATTCTTTTAGTTGTGAGGATACTTATTTTTTAGGAGTAAGGCAGCTACCTTTCTGACTCATAATCTTCACCTAGGTGGGTTGCTTCCATTAGTGACGTTTATTTAAACTGGACGTGACATCATACTCAACCACTTTTAGTCCCTACGAGAAAAAACATTGACATGCAAGACAGAAAGGCTCCGAAAATTATAAAGGCTGCAAATTCAACACAAATACATCAAATTGTAATAAACAATGCAGAATAAATATTAAACAATACACGACGCATATAACAATAAACAAAAACCTGTGACAAACGTAGAGTACTCACAGGTATTGATGAAATCGAATATGTTGTAGGAATGGCCGATCACAATCAAGAACATGCTGAAAAATCGCAGACCATGAAAGAATCTGAACATGTAGGCATCAGAATCTTTGTCGCGGACGCCAACGAGGAGAGCCTCCAGATTTAATCGCAATGAGAATGCTGTCAGGACTTTCACAAGGAAACCTGTATGTAGCGCCAAGAAAAAAATGAAGCAAAAGATACAAGTTCCACAATCAGAATTAGGTCGAGCACCACTTTTTATTGATAAAACTATACATTAACGCTGTGTATATCTTACTGGTGTCATTACATTAGAGGCCAGATTTATAGGCACTCACAAATCGAGTTTTAGGAGCCAAAAATAGGCAGGCGAAGC